ACTGCATGGCTGGACTGTGTACATTACAAGCTCCAGAAAATAGTTGGCATTTATACTTCAGTAGGAAAAACTGGGATGGATTTAAAGTTTTCTTAAACTTTTAATATTTTTTGAGATGTGAAACTGCAAATTCCTTGGATAACAGAACAAAAAATCATAGTAGCTTTTCAGCAGTATGTCAAAATGAAATAATCTAGAAAAAAATAAGCCAAGTTGGCTACCCAGTGTTTTGGATGAGTACAAAAATCTGGCTCATAGACACTTGGGAATACTGTTTCCAAAGAATCCATCTGGTCTCAGAATAAAGGCCCTAGCTTATAAGAATTTATTCTAAAGTTCCTAAGTGAAGAAAGTTCAGATACTAAGTACATTGGACTGTTAAAAATGACAACTATGGTTGAATCTGCATTTCTCAAAAATCTAGTTCAGATTAAAGACCAAAATGATCATCCTTCTGCATGAATGCAAGCCTAATATAATTCCTAATACAGTTATAAGCTTGCTTAAGAGTCAAAACAGTGTTACCCATGTGGTCACTGACAGATGATTTTTAAAAATTATTTACCCAAAAGTATAGTTCTAGCCCTAGCCAGTTTGACTCAATGGGTAAGGCATCAGCCTACAGACTGAAGAGTCCCGCATTAGATTCTAGTCAAGGGTACATGCCCGGGTTTCAGGCTCAACATGCAAGAGGCAACTAATCAATAATTCTTCATCATTGTTGCTTCTATCTCTCTCTCCTCCCTACCTCTCTGAACTCAATTTAAATTTAAAAATATATAATTCTGGTTTCTCTTTTGTAAAATACTGAATAAATTAACTTTGGGGGCATCATTCATATTCCACATACCATGCAAGGCACTGATTCCAAATAAATACATTATATTTGAGGAAGAACCATAACAGAGAATAAATTTAAAGTGTATATATATGATTTCACATCTTTTTTTTCTAATATTTAGTTTTTATTTATTTTTCTTGCCTTATTATAATAGTTACGGCCTGCATTTTTTGGTAAATAGAAGTTGTGATAGAAGCCATCCCAAACTCACAAGAAAGTGTTTAACATATCACTATTGAGTATGATGTTGGCTTGAGATTTCTTTTTATAGATAATCTTTATCATACTGATTATGTTTCTTTCTATGCCTAATTAGCTGAAAGGTGTTTGTTTTTTATCATAAATGGCTATTGAAGTTTATCAATGGTTTTTCCCCCACTTCTATTGAGATGATCTTACGATTTTCTTCTTCATTCTGCTGATATGGTGAATTATAAGGACTTTTTTTCAAATGTTGACCAATGTTGTAGTCCTGGAATATCTGTTACTTGGTCCTGATATGTAATTCTTTTCATATACCGTGTTTCCCCAAAAATAAGACATCCTCCGAAAATAAGAGCTACTTACAGGTTTCCTTCTGAGTGAAATATAAGGCATCCCCCGAAAATAAGGCCCCCCCCTAGGCAAAAAATGAGAGATTTGGTCCACTGATTCTGAAAGAAATGTAGTCACAAGAAATTCACCATGAAATTCAGGAATTGGATTGCTATGATGATGTTCCAGAAGATGATGACATGATTGTCATTAAATAAATGAGTAAATTCTTGATACTGTAGGATTCATAGTTTGTCTGGTTTGTGTTGACAACTACGGTACTAATGTACCTTATACAGGTAATAAATTTCCTTTAGTTTCATTTAACAATAAATGTGTACCGTATTCTTCTTCATGGAAAAATAAGACATCCCCTGAAAATAAGACCTAGCACATCTTTGGGAGCAAAAATTAATATAAGACACTGCCTTATTTTCGGGGAAACAGGGTATCACTGGATTCTATTTGGTAGTAATTATATGTAAATTATACCAAGGAAAAAAGGAGAGGGAAAGGGAAATGGAGGGAAAGAGGGATGCATGGGTATGAAAAGATGAGGATAAAAGAATTACCATGCCTAAAACGGCTTGGCTAAGTGGATAGATCATTGACCTGCGGACTGAAAGGTGCCAGGTTCAAATCCAGTCATGTACCTGGGTTGCGGGCACATCCCCAGTGAGAGGTGTGCAAGAGGCAGCTGATCGATGTCTCTATCATCGATGTTTCTAACTCTCTACTCTCTCTACCTCTCTGTAAAAAATCAATAAAATATATTTAAAAAAAAAAAAAAGAATTACCAAAGAAAAAAGAAAATCATGACAGCAGAGTAGAATTATTTAATTAGTAATCCTCATTGAGACAATCTTGCGAAAGAATAAGAAACAAATTACCTTTTAATTAATCATTATAGGGGAGTGTAACAGCCAAATAATACAGTACCAGAAAGAGAGAACCAAAAGAAAACAGGAAAATAAATGATCAAAAAAGCAATGTAAGAAATTTTCTCAAAATTATGTATAGTCCTTACATTTCCACACTGAAGGAGCTCAGGACAATCCATGAACCAAGAAATAAAACTGAAAAGTTTCAGAATACTGGATGCCACAGAGGAAAATAAGCCAATTGCAAAGAAAAAGGTATCAACATGGCTTCAGATTCTTCAACCACAACACCAGACCAATGCCTTCAAAATTATGAAGTAACATTATTTAAAAACAAGTATTTATTACCCAGCCAAAGTATCAACCAAGAATATGTAAGAATAAAGACATCTACAGACAAACAAAAGCTACCACAAATCAGTACCAGCCAGTGAGGCGCAGTTAGTTGAGCATTGGCCCATGCACCGCTATGTCACTGGTTCAATTCCTGGTCAGGGCACATGCCCTGTTTGAGGGCTAGATTCCCAGTAGGAGGCATGTAGGAGGCAACCAATCGATGTTTTTTCTCTCTCTTTCCTTCTTTCTCTTCCCCATCCTTTCCTTCCTCCTTCCCTCTTACTTGGTTCCTGTCTTTTAAAAAAATCAATAAAAACATATTTTAAAAAGATCTAACACATCATTTTCGGTTCTTATAAGTGTATTTCTCGTATCATACAATCTCACTCATCTAGGGGAAATAGTGAACAACATGAACTGATGAACAAAAACAGACCCGAAGACAGGGAAGCATCGATAAGACTATCAAACCTCAGGGGAGGGGAGGGGGGGAGGGAGAGAAATCAACCAATGGACTTGCATGCGTGCATATAAGCCTAACCAGTGCTCATGGACTACTGGGAGGTGGGGCATACGTGGGGAGAGATTTGGGATGGGAATAGGGGGATGAGGACAAATATATGATACTTTAATCAATAAAGAAATTAAAAAAAAAAAAAAAAGATATAATACAAATCCTTTTGGTTTTTTTCCAGGAAATTTCTTAAGGACTTTATCCCATCAAAATGAGCACACAAAGCAAAATGGACAAAAGATACTCATTTTTCCATTATAAATCTTATGTGATAAGTTATAACAAATCTTTAAAAAATTAAACAAAAATTAACCATGAGACCTGTTATTTTTGCAAGTCATAACAGAACATTTAGCTATATGTATGAAATTAAATTTTAAATCTGTTATTTTTTAAAGTAAGCATATTACAGTAGATGGAAGAATCTTTTTTCAATTAGACAAAGTAAATTAAACATAACAAATTCTACTAGTAATATTAACATTTATAGCTTTATACTCTCTCATGAGCAAAAATTGAAAAAGTTGAAGAACTGACATAGACAAAAGAGCTACATAAATGAAATGAAGGAAGAAAAATTTGCCTCTGTCAATTACATACAAAAGAAACAAAGACTTAGCACAGTCATTTAGTAATAAAGTTTTTCTTGATTCTAACCACCCAAAGAGAAAGCTGACTATTCCAAAAATAATAATGTTCTTTGTCAAAAGATTTCACCAAAACATAAATATTAATACATCAGAAATAGGAGGAAGAGAGTGAGAGTGCAAAGGAGAGACGGAGAAGAGAGCTGAAATCTGTACATGCCATAAAATTCAAAAAGAAGAAAAATGTCCACATGACTTCAGGATACTACTGTCTTACTACCTTCTTATCATTTCAATTGAGATTTAATCACCACATTAATCCCTAACATTAGTTTTAATAAACATCTCCTGGTAGTTTTAATAAACATCATTCTCACCAATCTAGAGTATTAATAACTGTTTAAATAAGTATTAGAAGGAAGATTTCCCAACTTGTTTAATTTATGTTTTAAAAAAGATCTAACACAACAAGTTTTAAAAACATAAATTAAAATATCTTAATAACCTTTTTAAAAAGATTTCATAGTGTGCATATAATAATTAGTAGGATTGTTTTTAGTGCACATGCTAAAATGCTAAGTGATCACAGATAAGTTAATGAGAAAATACAACCCTTAGGAAGCTCACATCATTAAATAGTCAGGAGTTACATAGGCATCCAAATAGCAGACTTAATTTTAAAATGTGCTTGATTCTATAAAAAGTAAAAATAACATATGATATGTAAATCAACATTAAGAAGTATTCATTATTAAAGCAGAGATCAAAGGTCAAAAGCCAGAAACTGTACTTCTGACATAGCTGGAAATGCAGAGAGCAGACTCCTCTCTAATCAAGACAATGATGAAAAACCAAGCTCTCCAAGGCAGGCAGTAACTTCGAAAAGGAGTTAAGACACAAGAACAACAGAGACTTGGGGAATGCCCAGAGAAGAAAGCTAAACCAGAAACATAACAAAAGCGGCACAGTCAGCGAGGAAAGGGACCTGGGAGGAGCGATGCCATGAAAACCAGGAGAGAAGAGGCCTTCAAGAAAGAGCCAGCCAAGTCAGAGGCTAAATCAAGATCAAAGAGGATGAAGATAAATCAAAAACACAGCAGAAAGTGAATGGCCATATTGAATTGGTTAAGATTACCTATTTCCATCTCAACTGACGGGACTAAAAGTTTATCTTGGGGGGGAAGAGGAGAAGGGGCATAGACACTTGGGAGAAAACAGACTTTAGTTATCATTCTTGCTGTCTGTAGTCCAAGACCAATAAAAGAAATGTTCTGAATGATTTGTTTCTTCTTAAGGGCTACACTTACCAAACTGTGGAGCAGGCAAGATCCTGGCCGCCCGAATTGGGCCATTGCGAACAGAGAAGAGCTCCTGTGCTTCCCCACTGATCTGCAAGAGAAGACAAAAAAAAATTCAGTAAATGAAAACACAGGTCAGGACATTAATATATGAAAATGAGATCTCCTAAATGTTATTGTAACTTATTGTCTATATGTAACACACTCATACACATTTATGGATAATCATATACATTAAGTATACCATAACTTAAGTTATCGTTAATATTGTAAGAGCATACACTTGATATGAATGGTAGAACATGTGGTCTGTCTGGAAGTCTATAATTTTTCATCTTTAATAAACTACTATAAATCAGCTCAGTTCCTACACGACTGCTTTCTAAAGCAACTATGGTTTTTTGAAAAGCAGATCTTAAATGTTGCAGTAAATTTCAAAAATATGTTGTAAAAGAGAAAAAGCAAAATATATCGTAAAGAATGCTAAAGTGAAATGTCAATGACCTAGTTACCAGTTATGGTTCTGCAACTGGCTGTTAACCACCTTGAGTAAATCATTTGACTTCCATAAACATTTTTTATGTCCTTTTTTCTTTCCTGAACATATTTTTAATAAAAACTGTATATATTCAAGGAGTAAAACAGGATAATTCAATATACATATACACAGTAAAATGATTACTGCAGACAACTCCTCAGTTACCTTTACTGTGTGATAAGAGCACCTGAAATCCACTACTTAGCATTTTTCCAGTATGTAGTTCAGTATTGTCAACTATAGTCATCATGACTGAACATTAGATCTTACCAACAATGCATCCTTTGACTAACATCTTCCCACTTCCCCCACCTCCCATAAACCTATTCTTTTATATTTATAAACTGAGAAGCTAAAGGTGCTAAAAGACAAAGATACTTCTAATTTCAATATTATATGAATAAAAAATTAACATATAAACTTCAGTAAATGTTACTTTTTTTTGGTATACACATAACACCATAATGAATGACCATTTATTTTGAGTCATATCAAATTTATTCTTCAGATTATATAAAGAGTAAAGCAATCTATTAAAACAAAGGTAAAAGGGATATGCTAATACATGTGTCAAGTGTAAAAAAAAAAACAACGGTTTTTCAAAATTAGTGGCTCAAGAAAAAAGTTTGCTGCTAATTGAAATATTGAATAGATTAAATGTGAATTAGTTAAGAAAGGCTTTCCAGAGGACTTTAAGTGGTAATGTAGTTCCTATTACATTTTCATTTTCTTCCCCAATACATTTTCATAATTGTCGATTCTTTGATGGAATATGTAATGTCAAATAGGGAAAATGGCAAACATTATACAACTAGTTCTAAATACTCAAGAACTTTAAACAGATATAATAATGATAAACATTCAATAGAGGAAACATGCTGATGGTATTTTTTTTTTAAATAGGCCTGCCAGACAAGCAGTTTAAAATATCAACAGTGCATCTATTATAAAATAAAAGGCTTATAACTCTTCCAATATTAAACTATAAATTTGTACAGCTGTCTTTTAGATTAACTACTTTTTTAGATCTTCATCTTCTATGAGAATTTAAGTGCAGCAACCTATAAATATTTTTTTCTTATAAATGTTAAATTATGGTAATGCCTAAAGAGCCATCATATTCATTTTGCTTATAAAACTTATTACAACTTATTTATTGACCACAATGACAAGTCCCTCTAACAGCACCTGGGATGCAGAGATATGAGGAATGCTTGGCTCTTCAGACCAACTATGCAACAATAGCACCACCTATCACCAATTAAACACAAAGGCTATAAACTCAGCATAGCAAACTATAAGAATTTTCCTCTCTACATATTCATTCCTCTGTGAACACTAATTTTGTAAATGAAAACCATCGCCATTACATACTGCAGCTCTTAAGTCTACATTTTATTATAGAATAAAATTTAAAATTTAGAAAAAGCCTTTAAAAGTCAATTTGTTCAGCACCCAAAACAGTAATTACTCGTTCTCTGAAATCTGGAAATCACAATCTCTTTCATTTTAAGCACACTATGACTGCAAGGTTTATCACGAATATAATCCAATTATGTTATAGATGCATTATTGGCTCCTTCCACCAAATGACAAGTTATTTACTTTTTGAAAATAAATTGTCTCTGGGCAATGGATAAATAATATTCTTCTTCAATACATATACTGTTTCTATTAACAAGAAAATAAAAAATAAAATTTGCTTTGAAATTATAGTTAGAGTAATGAAAACCACTTCTCACTATTATAAATAAGATTTGTACCTATAACAAATCACTGTATTCCAACACAAAATCTACTCTATACTATTATTTTCATATGCCACAAGTCTAGCACTTAACTTTTGGTTCATGAGCCCTGAAGTTTTAAAAAATTAATCATATTTAACTGAGCTGCTGTACTAAATTACTCTAAACAATAAAGAATAAAACAAACCTGTCTTGGCATACTCACTATATGACAACCGTTTGTTATCTCTAGACTGATACACAAGAGCTTACTTTGATACAGAAAAACATTTTGAAATCTGAACACTCAATGTTTTTCAAAGTAATGGCTTTCAAAACAAACCTAAATGCTAGCTTCTACTCTAAACTCTTCTTTGAATGTACAGAAACAGGTAGAGGAAAAAAACACATTAGGACTGATTATAAAATGCTTCCTCACGATCATTATCCATCTTTTACTGCCATTAAGTTAAGCTCCTAGAAGCTTTGATTGCTTATAAAATAAGGAAAAGGGGAAGAAACATTGTCACTATTTATAGATATCTGTAAATATGTTAAAGTCAAGTTTGTTACAAGCAAAAAAGAAAAAAAGGTTTGCTACAAGCATAATGCTGAAGTGTCCTAAGGGAGTCACAAATGTCAAACTTCCCAAGAACTAACTCTTCAGTGTGTGCAAATTCTGTAGTGGACTATTTCAGAACAGAGACAGTGCTAACAGAGCTAAAACAGATAAGATGGGCACATTTTAGAAAGGACACAGAGAGGATGGATATGTCCTTATAGGCACCGTTTTAGCTGCCGTCTTCAATTGCCTCTAATGTTTTATGCAGGATGTTCACTGGTAATTTTGCTCTCAAATAAATAAGTGTCAAAACTTATTACATTTATTAAAGGCTTTCAAAGTGATTTTTAGGTTTCTTAAAGAGAGCTTATTGAAAATGGCAAAGAATCTCTGAGATGAGGATTTTATATATCCTGAATAGAATTACCGGGAGCTGTAAATTCACTTTTAAACCAACAACAATAATAAATCCAAGGGTAGAACTACAAGGAAAGAGTGTGTACCAAGCAATGTTCCACCTTCCTGGCAACTGCGGTTACTTGGGGAAAGGAGAAAACCTCTCCAATAGCTCCTCATGGCTCTCTGCCTTTGTTCTTACTGGCATTTTAATTTCTGATGACAGACTTTTGTTGTTTGGAGCATAAACCGGACGTACCAGTTTGGAGGCACAATAAGGAGAACAAAGAATGATTTGTTCACACTGTAAGGAAAAAAATCTTTTCCAACCATAGAAAATAGCTTTCGCATGGTGAAAATATGCAAATTACATACCAAACCAAAAAAGATGGGGGGAAGTACAAGTTTAGCATCTCACAATTCAATCTAAGGCAAAAGGAAATTATAACAGCCGAGACAATAATACATACAGAGAAAAGGCTATAAAAGTTGTGGGAGAGCTTTATAAGTGCTTTTAGAAGATTCTAAAAGCAAATGAAAGTCATCTAGCCCTCAGAACCAAACTTTTTTCTAAAAACTTGTCTTTTCAAACATCCATGACTACAAAATAGAAAATTCAATAAAATCAAGGACAATTAACAATAATGCTTTATAATGACAGAATTAAGACAAGGGTACATATTTACACCCTCCACTACTCTTTAGACTAGGGGTGTCGAACTCAATCAGAGAAGGGGCCAAAATCTAAAATCCAGCCTAAATCGCGGGCCGAATGGTTTACTGAACAGTCATAAACTGTCATTGTGATGGAAACGCAGCGGAGTGCAGTGAAGACAGCGCGGTGCGGGCCACATTGCAAGGCCTGGCGGGACGGATTTGGCCCGCGGGCCTTGTGTTTGACACATGTGCTTTAGACACTGGTCAAATGGGGAATTGTGGGCTACAATTGATTCAAACTTTATTAAAAGATAACAGACATGGGGGGTGGGGGGAAGAAAAACAGGAGAGAAGGGCTTTTGTACTATGATAATCCAGAAAGAGAATTTTGTGGTTTCAAGGAAATACTTGTTTACTTTTTGAAAATAAATTGTCTGCTGGGCAATGGAATTGTCTGAATGCAATTCAAATACCAACAAAATTATTTCAGGTTAAAACAGGAAGGAAAAAAAAGATAAGACAATAGCCCAGCCGCAGCTGCTCAGTGGTTGAGCATCAATCTGTGAACCAGGTCAGGGCACATGCCCAGCTTGCGGACTAGATCCACAATGTGGGGCATGCAGGAGGCAGCCAATCTGACTCCCTCTCCCTTTCTCTCTGAAATCAAAACTTTTTTTTAAAAATAAGGTTCTGCCTGCTCCACATCTTCTCCAACAGGTAGTGTCAACCATTCTGGTGGGTGGGAGTTACACTGTGGTTTAATTTGCAGTTTCTTCATGACTAAGAAGATTGCTTTTAATTCTTATTGGAATTTTTTTGTGTGTGAACCTTTCAATTTTATTAAATTATTATCTGTGTACATATTTTAACATTGCCCCCCCCAGAGTTTTGTGTCCATTGGTTGTACTTATATGCATGTATATAAGTCCTTCGGTTGAAATTTAAACACTGGTCAAATTCTTATTGGAATTTAGTTACACTACTTCATGAATGACTGAGTATTAAAGTCTATTGCTCAATACAGTTGCCTGATTCTTAAAAATATATAGATAGATAGATTTAAATGGTTGCTCATGATGGGGGAAAAAGTATAAATCAGTCTCTGGAAAAGCAATGCTGCCTCAAACTAAATGTAGAGACCGTCTTTTTTATAGAAGCCCTCCATTAGGGCAAGTGATGTGAAACATTTGTCCTAATGGACTCTTGTCTTC